AGAATGGTTGCATACTGTTACGTACAATGGCTTTTTTTTTCTGAAAATAAGTTTGTGGATTTTATGTAAAACTCTTAAAAGGTATGCGTTACAAATCAATTACCTAAAAAGACTTATTTTACATGAAAGCGAAATTTATCAATAAATTATACTTCATTGTGACATTTTGCTTTTAATCCTTTTTTCCGTGAATTATTGTCAAGCAATATTGTCTGGCAATCGCCAGCTGCATAAGACTTCTTCAATTCATCGCGTCGACAAATAAAGCTTTACGATTTCAAAAATATCGTTTCCTAAAAAATTTGGATAGTTATCATCCGGAATCATTTTATCAAATATGTTGATATTCGTAACACTACTATATTGCCGTGCAGAACGATAGATAAATCTTCCGCCAGAACGGAACATAAAAATATGAAAGGTTCGATTGGATGTGATGCTCGCATATTATCATATAAATATTCGAATCTTTTAAAGATTAAATACGTGAATGTATGTATTCTCAAAGTTCATTATCAATATTTTGATTGATACATTGAAACTGAAATGAGAACAATCTCATTTTAAGAAATCATTTTACGCAAAGTTTTTTCATCGAAAAGTTCAACGAATGTGATTGAGTAAGCACGATACTTATCTCCTCCTATAAAACTCACTTCTTTAATTTCCGCAACTAAAACTATTGTCCTCTGAGTCAATTCACGATATAATATCAAAACAGAAATGCAGAAATTTCAATTTTATGAAAAAAGTATGGAGAACCGGGTGACTACTAACTAACTAGTTATATTGCAAACGCCTGTACTGGGGAAATGTCCAAACTAAATTTTTAAAAATCAATTAATCAATCATTTGTTTTTCTATAGTAATTTCGTAAACATTTTACACGGCATGCACTTAGTGCAGTTAAAGTACAACGACCTTGCAAGAGCAAAGGTTGATTTATCCTATTAGCAACGGTTTTTATTCTTCAAACTTCATTGAAACGTTTACATTACACCATCAGGAGACATAAATTCTCTTAATGATGATATTACGCATGTTACGCATCGGGGGAATTTGAAATTTCCTATTAGGCTTTGATTCAATTAATTCGGCTTATATCAATCTAGAAGATAAAGTACAGATTATTCCATACAAACTGAGACGTTCTTGTCTGATTTAGTGCTCACTCCCAATAAATTCTCTCCAGTCAATTGTAACTACAAAGGCAATGTATTGTTGCTGTCGTCTTTGAAAGGACTCAACTTTTAAAGGAAAATTAATAAAGAAATATATTATAATATTAGTTTTGCACTGTGGTGACGCTTGTAAAAAGCTCAAGTGAACTCTTGATCTTAACATCTTGAGAAATAAAGCGCAAGATTCATTGGAGAAGAGCCTTAGTCCTTGCAAAAAATCGAATTCTAGTCTACACCGCTTGTGATACAGGGTAAACTAAGCTCGTGCAGTAGGACCTTTTTTTATTATACCGATCTTTTCGGTTGCATACATTCGCACAAACTTAATATACCCTTGTATCGGAAGTTGAGTAGGGAATAAAAACGTAAAACAAACGCTTTACATATAGCAATATCATCTCAGATATCTACACATAATAATATATAAAATGGACTTACATCACTATTAATGAAAACAAAAAAAAATTTTCTTGGCAAAGAAGCCAAGTAATAATACTTCAGGATTCTGAGCTGATATGAAAAATTTGGATCAAATGGGCAAATTTTTACTCCTACATCCTATGTAACGAAAAGCAAGGCAGGTCCCATTCGGCCATAATAATTTCACTTGTCTGCAAAAACAATTGCCTGGAACAGATCAGATGATTTTCACGTAAATGACAGATGAGCCTGTGCAACACATTCAAGTTTCGTAGAAAATACACAGAAATGCACGTCAGAGACGATATAAAGCACACACATATATTTCCTTGAGCACCATAAAATTGTAAGGTGTTCGTTTATTGGCTATTTATGGATGACGTTGCGGTCATAAATATTAAAGTCGGAAATTGATTCTTCATATATTCATAGTTTATGACCATCGGTGTAGTGGACATGATATGCATGCACACCGGGAACTTACCCTTACAAACTAATATATACTAAGTATATACCATTTAATAATTAGAATAAAATTTAAAAAAAAAAATCTATAACCAAAAGGATCAAACTGCTGCGCTTGGTATAAAAAAAAATGATTTTAAGATTTACTTTCTATGTTCAATTGCTTGTAATCGAAAATTCATTTGAACGCAGAGCAAGCAGATCTATGTGAATTGCTTTGATTGTTCGATTAATATTTTTACCCAATTCCAAATTGTTACTTATTGCGATGCGAAATTTATTGGTAAGAATTTTAAATTTCGAATTCCAAATTTCGAATTTAATTGTCATAAAAAGAGTGGAGAAATCTAAAATCCATTATAGATATGTTCAGTTATTGTGAGCAGATAAAACTCTAAACTTAAGCGTATACATATGCGTAATAGGCGTCCATTCAACTAGATTTACTTTTATACAATTTACTGCAATTATAGCCGACTACTACTCAATATCTGTGATAGTAACTGTTTGGCACAAAACTTACGGCTGAGATTGAAAATGAATTTAATTCTCTTTTTCCCCAATGCATTCAAAATAGTGGGTAATTAAGAGATGAACTTTAACTTTAACCTTTGCCGTTACATTGGCCCGTATATGTGCCAATAAAGGTATCTCAAGAAATTTAATTGTAAATAACGTAACTGCATTCACTCGCACTAATATAATTACATTTATGCCTAAATATTTTATTAAATATGGGCATGGCTGGTGCAAAGTTTTTGTATCAAATTCTAGATATATTTATGCATTTTTATTATCAAATCGCAAATGATTTCTATTTCTATGCCACGGGCACGTATTTATATCTGAAAGTGGAAATTTTACATGCTTCGTCCCTATATTAGCATCAATATTTGTGATATCGGCCAACAGAGCATACCTCGTTTGAGTCTTCTACCCTCGTTTTTCGAGAGTGTCCCACAAATTGATAATAAGTACACGGACCAAGAAATTTTGCTCGTAATTCGTATTGAAATCGTTGCTTGGATCAAAAATATATAGGCTGTATATGTCTGATAGTTAAAAACGTAAAAGCTAATGTAGCGCATTGACCTTATCTTCGGGACGGAGTACAAAATTATCCCAATTGAATCGAATAAGAAAATCGCAGTGCATTCTGGTCGAATTTTTGTTATCTAACATCGCATGGTAACTATTGGGTGACTCGTCCTAATAAGAGCTCCTTTATGACGAGCCGTCCGAAAGAAGGCTTTAAACTGCAGTAACCCGTATGTCAGCTATTGTTGCTTCCCTGTGAGACATTGGACTCGACAGAGGTATTAGGCATCACATTTTATACTCCTTCAGTGTCTAACCGTAGGCTTCTTGAGAGTATTGCTACTGGCGGTAATAGTCGTGTTTTTCTTCCCTTTTTTTCTTATGAAAAGACAGCATGACGCCAGTCGTAGTCGAATAAAAGACTGAGTCAAACAACTTCATTCGCTTGAGAGCTTTCGAAAATTTCGCTGTATCCTAATACTAAATAAGCCTATCATTCGAGAATATCCATATTTGGAGACTAGACCCAGGGCTACTTCCCATTTCAGTTAGGAGGAAATGTACTATTTTATGAATTCTTTTGCGATATGTTAATAGCTAACACGTCCACAGTGGCTTGCAAGGCCTGTAAATGTTGACCGTCACCTTAGCATCCATTTTTTGACCATCTACAAAGAATGTGACAGATTTATTGATTCGATTTGTATTGATTGATTGATTTTGACTTCTTCAGTATACGCGCCATCTACTCATACGCTGCGTAGAAATCATGTGCATTTTTTTTGCGTTTTTAAAATATTTGTACCAGCAAGGGATAAAATAAGAGGAATTTCATGTGCCCCTATTATTTTTTTTTTAATTCTCTTTTGCTTACTGTTTCCCTCTCTCTCTTTTCCTATGCTTCTCATTCATTCATAAACTCTCTTTACTGTCGCTGCCATTCTCGAGTATTGTGTATATTGGGAACGATATCCAGAGACGAAAGGTATACCGAACATAATAACAGACGTAAGCAAGCAGCTGTGTAACGAGGCAAAATTGTTCTACAGTAAATGGGCCGAAGCGTATCCTTAAGCAACGAAGGTAATGGCAATTCAGTTGAACGTGATATTTACAGATAAATAGACGAAACGGAAGTTAATAAATTAATAGAACGCAAAACTTTATAACGTGAAAAGAATTTTTTTTTTTTATTTAATAGGAAAAATATTCCAAAAATAAATTTATACATATATATATATATACATACCCCCATGTATATATCTATATACATCAATTTAGATACATATGTATATGTATATATATATATATATATACAAATATATATACAACAAACAATATACACACATATATATGTATATATATATATATATATATGTTTGTATATTTGTTTATATAAATATATACTAAGTAAATAAATATAAAAGAAAGGGAAATAAAAATAAAAAAACAATTAATAAAAATAAGTTAATATATATTTTATTTAATGTCAACCAACGAAAGAAAAAAAAAAAGAAACTACGCACTTCTCATTATTTCGCGGGCTTAAGTTTACCTGTAAAGTTTTTCATTAAGCCGGAAATTAAAATTTAAATGAAAAATTTCGCAATTAAGCCTATAAAGGAAATCATGGTATAAGCAAATACAACAACAAAAAGAGAAAGGAAAACGACACAAACAAAAAAAAAAAAAAAAGAAGAAAAATAACCAAAATAAACATTAAAATTTATGCGTAAATAAGCACAGCACAGAATATCCAAAATTTTGACTCCCTTCTCCTGCGTATGAAATGGTGTAAATTTGGTTTTTGTTTTCTATTTCATGTTTGTTGTTTTTTTTTTTTTTTTTTTTTTTTAAGCAATTATTTTTTTTTTTTTTTTTTTTTTTTTTATTTTCTTTGCTGTGAAAACAATTCGTAAACGTTGTTATTATTGCCAAAGAGCTTGCATTCGTCCAACTTGTTAAGTCATTTGTTAATACAAATTTTGTAAATATTTGTGTAAGTGTGCAACTAGGCTAGGATGGTTGCATGTGCGCCTATTATTACCAATTGATTGTGCCGTACATGATAATATAATGCGTGCATATATGTCTACGTATAACGCTCTTTTCATGTACTTATAACAATAGTTACAAATTTTACATACTCATGAATAGCATAACGACAAAAGATTCTTTACTCTTCCGTTGAACCTGTAAAACATGGGAGAGAAATTTTGCCCGAAAATTGCCAAAAATTAAAAAATACTTCCATACGCTTATATCCGCGGGAGAGTGTGCTTATGTATATGTGCGTAAATAACGAAAAGTGTGGAAAATGTTATAATAGCTACATGCACATATATATATATATATTTTGCTGCAGCCATACATTAATATAAGCGCCCAACTAACGTTCATTCTAAGAACGTATTTTCAACAACCGAGCAAACGGACCAAACCGACCAAACAAAAGTAATGTAACCCACCAGTACTACTAACACTACATATATATATATATTTATGTATATGCGTATATATACATGGACACTCGTTAACTATGTAAACGTGCTTGCGCGTATATATATGCGTTCGTGTGTGTATGTATTGCATTGATTGTAAGAAAGAGAAGGAGAAAAGAAAAAAAGAAAAAGAAGTGAGAGAAAGATATATAAATTGAAGTGAAAATATAAAAGCCGGCTTTTATGTTCCGCCTGAAGGTACTTTTGTTTTAAATTTACAAATGCCAAAGTGTATCATCGATACAGTTACTGCTGCAACTAATAATAATACAGATATTCAGTCAGGCAAAGTTGACCAAACAACTAGCCAGGCATCTAGACAGTTAGTCGACCGGTCGCTCAATCAATCAGCCAACATACGACGTTACGGCATAGCTACGTTTCGTTCTATTGTGTGCAGTTGCATTATTTGTGTGTTGTTTGTGTGTTTGTGTATGTTATCAGTGAATATATAGTAACATATCTATTTTCACACACTTGTACATACACGCAAACAAACACATACACACACGCATACATCACAATAAAATACACACACAAACACAATGTCCTTGTGCCCTTCAGGATTAATCGCTTATTCAGCAATCGTTTTGCTTTGTACTTCCGGTAAGTGAAATTATTCCATTACAAACTGAATATACATATATATATATATATATATATATATATATATATATATGTACATATGTGTGTGCTTTCTGCTGCAGTTCGTTAGTGCTCAACACATTCGCTCCGTCTCTCCCCTCGCCCCACGCTGCCAGCCATTCTTATTTCAATTGTCTGCAAGTTACGTTTCACTGAATCGCATCCAGATCACTGTGTGTACAGCATTTCAATGTTGTGCACAGAAGAAACACATAACCTAAGATAATCGAAGAAGTGAAATAAACGAAAAAGCAGAAAAAAAAAAACCCAAAATAGAAAAACGAAAAATAAAAAACATAAACGGAACAACAATATATATATAACTAAAATCAAAAACAATACATAATTCTTAAGTTGCCTTCGCATTGTTTACAAAACTTTATTTATTATTTGTCATATAGTTTTGTTTCCTTACAAACAATCCATCCTTACATTCTTACATATATACATAAGATGTATATTGAAGAGCTACAACCAACTAAGACAATGTCACATGAAGCGAACAACTAGTAAAAATCAATTTTCTGCAGAAATAAAAAAAAATTATCTATGCCTGATGGCGAACGTTTGGATACATTAGATTAGATTATATATAACAAAGGTTCAAAAACATTCTAAAGTTACACCAATTGACTTTTTAATGCAGTCGGATTTATTTTTTTATATTTTAGAAAAAAAAAAAAAATTGTTTTTTTTTTCTCTATAATCCCCTATATATATCACTTCAGCGGCTAAATGAAGAGGATTTAGTAAATTTCTCCCGTCTTTTTATTTATAATAAGCATCAGCGATGCAATAAAGTGTGCTTTTTGTGCGGTTTTGTTTGTAGAGCCGATTTAAGAGCCCGTTTCGATTTAGTTACATCTATTTGTCTGATGCCTCTTGTTAAAGTCCTATGGTCCATGACATTATAATGATCCTGTCACGATATATAAGCCAAAGCAGATTAAAAAAAAAAAAAAAAAAAACAAATGATTTACAAAAATCATCTAAAACCGTCCAAGTCTTTACAGCAAGAGTAAGCCTACAACCCTGCTCCTAATAAACAAGAACCTACCTACAACTGGTAAATACATACCTAATATTTAACTGGAATTCGTTACAAACATTATGCAACGCCACAGCCATCTAGAAAATTGATATACAAATACACTTTTGTTTCACATTTGTATTTGTAGTCAAGTATTTTTCAATTTTTATTTGTGCATATGCAGTGGCGAGTATTAGAAATTCACTTACAAACATAGATCGTTGCTTTTAGTTGTTGTTAATTGGCGTAAATCATAAGCGTAAGCATTTTAGTGGACCGTTTGAAGTCATACGGAATTGCAAGCACATAACAAAATTTAGATCAATATATCAATTTCATGGAATATAAATTACGAGAAACCACTAATACCCTACGCCATCTTACAATTTATAGAATGATTTTTAAAAATAAGTTTTTGTGTGAAGAGTGGTCGAAAAAGTGGTTCAAGCCAAATTATCCTGTATATTCTTCGCCCTAGGGCCAAAGCACATTCGAGAATCAAATTTCATGAAATTATTAGAAAAGTTGTGGTCTCAAGAAAACCACGCGGACAGAACGATAGGTGGACACATGGACGAACAAGCTTTGATTGATTCAAAAAAAATTATTCTGAATCGATCGATTTAGCCAAAAGTAGATCTCTCTTAAGTCCTTCTAGGTGTTGCATATATTCGCACAAAATTAATATATCCTTGTGTCATAAGTGGGGCGCATTATAATACATATATGGAATTGTATTTTTAATCATCTGCAGGTAATTCAAAGAGACAGACAATTACGCTTTAAGGTTTCACTTGAGCACTTATCAAGAATGCATACTCATTTCGAAGAGTCTCCCATATGTACGGGCATTATAAATAGAATAGTAAATCAAGTATAAACAAGTGGAATCCGATTGAATGCAAGTGCTCGATTCTATTGCTCTTTGATTGGTTCTTGACTATTTATTGAATCTTTTGATGATTACGGAACGACTGGAACCGAATTTTCCATCGAAATTTTGAATGGCTCTACGAAATTTCCTCTCTTTTCGTTTCTTGTTCTTTTTTTAAATCTTAATTTTTGATAGGACTCTAATCGAGCATATATGCTCGCACTGTGAACTCTTCAGAGGTGTAATAACAGTAGATATGAAACTATTGACAGATCGTAAGAAGAATTTGTTTGATCTAAATATTTTAATCAGTATCGGCTTAATTTTATCTGCCATATGGGTATGAATTAAAATTATGCATGCCCGGCTCAAGAAGAGATGGGAAAACAGTTGGGCTAATAATTGGGTACAACGATCCCGTGATTCTGTTTATTCTCTAGTAAGCACAGGTTGAAAAAAGAAATTTTTTTTTTCTTCTCTTGATAAAAATCAAATTTTTTTTTTTTTAAAGCAAATTTATATCTCGCTCCAAGTGATGGCCAACAGCTTGGAGGTGAAGACTTTAGTAACACTGTAAAGTAGATGCACCCTTGAATAGCCAAAGATATTCAGTTTATTTAGACATGGCCTATCTCTATAGGAGTTGAGACAGAATACTACATACATTATACATAATTAGGGATTCTTGATTGATGATCGCAAATGAAAATAAAATATTGATGCGAGCTGCCCATTATACTAATAATAAAAAAAAAAAAAAAAAATCGATATTAGAAAAATTTAATAAAATTGATATTAATGGAAATGTTACAGAATTAATTCTTATCGGACATTAGAAGCGTTCATAATTAAAAAATCTCATCATTTTAAGCGACTTTTATATGTATATAATATTAACTAATATTTTATTAATATTAACTAAATAAAAAAGCAATTGATGCCTCAAAGTCCGTTCAAGACAAATGTCATTCTCTTATTCATTAAAATACATTTAAGTAAGTTAATAACAATTCCAAGTCCAATTCCCGTTATAAGAGTTCGCTTTCATTTATCTATTTGCATTTATTATTATTACATCAAAATTAAATGCTATTAGAATTTTAATTACTAACAGCCCTATTTAACGCTACCACGAATATGTATATTTTTGTGCGTATGCAAATAGTTGAGCTAAAAAAAAAAAAAAAAAACAAAATTCTTTCCAATATTTAATTAGAATATTAAATTAAACTAATTAAGGTCTATAAACAACTAAAACAATTATAGAGCTGCTGGAAATTACAATGTATTGAATAAATTTGAAAATCAAAATAAATAAAATAAAATAATTTCAAATAAAATAACGATTATCAATTAAAAAATTTATGTATTTGCTTTGGGAAAATCCTGGGTGTTGAGAAAGATATCCTCGAATTAATGCATAAAAGTTGTAAACAGTGGACGTTGACCGAACGGAATAATAATTTTTCAAATTTACTCTTTCAGATAATTCTTGGTAATATTCGTATTACATTTTCACTACGATATCTGATTAAGAACTTTTTATATACACTGATGTTACTTTACGGACTTTAGCCATTCACTTTGAGTTCCAAAATTACTCCAGTACGCCATAGGCCAGAGGTATTACCGCTTTACTTTGGGTTCCTGAATTACGCCAGTACGGCAGAGGTATTGTTTGTGCAAATGGATGAAGACGATTTGTATTTTTCCAAAACGTCTAGAACATATGCTTATCGAAGTCACTAAAACTTTGGTAACTTGGTCCTAACGGATGTATGTTTATCATAATTGAACGAGAATTTGTAATAAAAAAAAATTTTTTGCAGGCGAACCTTACGAACTATGAGATCTGGCCCTTTTCTAATGCAAATTTCAAAGTCGCGAGAGGATACGATTTGAAATTTTTATGATCTCGATTACCAACTAACTCAACCGTCATAGATTCAAATCTCAAATACGTTAGGGTTTTTAAGAAAGCCGCTGGCTTTAGATGCTAGTGCTTTAGTCTTAGAATTTGTTTCTCTGACTAAACTAATTACAATAATTATTTATAATAATAATAATAATAATAATAATAATAACAATAATAATAAACTTATTGATGACATTTAAAGGTTATGTACATGTTTTGTTCCGTAATGAACGAATGTCCACATTGCAGCGGTCAACGGATAAACGAAGCTCTCACCAATTAAAATTTCTAAAAAAGAAACTCGAAAAATCTAAAAAATGAATGCAAAAATATTAGTGATCAACTAAGCGATGCCCTTGAATTTATAAGGATTTTTTATACATTAAGGAAAACAGGCTATGTATGTGAAATTTCATCTCAAGGCGAACAGAATTTTCTCATTCATTTTCTAATAAAACTAAAATGAAGCTTATATGTGCTTAAAAAAGAAAAAGGGCCGAATAACTGGCCGTTATGGAGGTGGATGCAAGTCTATGTGACGTTAATAAGATTTTTCCACATTGTGTTTGTATAGTTGATGGGAAAGTTAAGCAAATGCTCAGCTGAGTGTTGAATCTTTTCTTTGAGGTTAAAATTAATTTATTAGGGATTAAGTAATAAACGCTTCATTTTAAAATAAGGCGCAGAGAAAAAAAAGGATGTAAAATTGGGCACTCTATGTATCTAATCGAAGAATGTACGCCTCTTGACTTCCACATCAACTCCTTCAATTTGATACCACTAGCATTTCGAAATCATTTCACGATACTGAACCTAAACTTGATTTTAATCAGGGAACCTGCCATGAGTCGATATTCAACAACTTGTATATTCAACCTATCCATATAACGACTTTTTAAAATATGGCTTGGATCAAAACACATCAGCATACAAAATTTCAAAAAAAATATCGCAAAAATGATGGCCTGTAGAGGTGAACAGGAGAAGAAAACAAAACGGACAGATAGACAGACAAGCTTAAGTCGATTTAAAAAGTGATACGGAATCGATCGCTATAATAAAATGTAATGCCATCTCAAAGCATTCCGAATGCTATACACATTTGCGTAAACTTGCGATAAACAATACAAATATATAGAAAT